TATGCAATGGTAAATCTGTGTGCATTCAGACGACACATCAGGACACGAGCCAGATTGTTCCATTACAATTTTAGTTAACTTAATCTCGAACATATAATTGGATTAAATATAAAAACATATACACTCAGAGCATGTTAAATTTACTTTATGCAATGGTAAATCTGTGTGCATTCAGACGACACATCAGGACACGATACAATTTTAGTTAACTTAATTGTCTAAATATAAAAACATATACACTTAGTGAATTTTAAATTTACTTGATGCAGTGGTAGGACACGAGCCAATTTTAGTTAACATAATTGTATAAATATAAAAACAGATACACGTAGTGAATTTTAAATTTACTTGATACAATGATAGCCTAGATATGTTTGCATACGAATAAGATTGCCCGATATACAATTTTATAATTATTAATATGATTCGGTGTGGTACAGAGCTATAATCTACTTGATATAATGGTATATATTAATCTGCTTGATGTAATAAATTAAGAGAAAAAGGATCATTAAGGTAAATCTGGAGAAAAAAAGTTCATGCATTTTATCAAAATTATATTTGCAAGTGTTATATTTTCATATATTTCATGAAGAAAGTATATGATGCACTGAAATGAATGCTACATATAAAATATTTCAATCATTGGTGATGTGAATGATATCAAATTAGAACTTCTTTTGTGGAAAGTACATCATTTTTGACTGTACAGTACCGCTCGCGTATGTCTTAACATACGATACGCGTATGATACTCGTATGATACGAATACGGTACGCGTATGATACTCGTATGATACGAATACGGTACGCGTATGATACTCGTATGATACGAATACGGTACGCGTATGATACGCGTCCCGTATATAACAGGTACGCGTATGGCATGCGTATCGTATATAACAGGTACGCGTATGACACGCGTATCGTATATAACAGATACGCGTATGACACGCGTGTCAAATTAACAGGTACGTGTATGAAACGCGTGTCGTTTATAACAGATACGCGTGTCATATGCTCATAGACACACTGAATTATATGGGTATATCCTATGCATTTGATACGCGTATATAGTGTATACAAGGCGTATATTGGTGCAAGGTGTATCAAAAAAATTTTGTTGGGATACATTTAAGAGTACGAATGATCACTGTGGAATGATGAAGTAAATTGACCACTAAATTTTGATCTCAACAATATTCCAAAGTTTCGTTGCGAAATGTTGTAAAATGCGGATAATATAGCCTTGCGAAGTTTGCCGTTTTTCAATTAGCCTGCTCGCAGGCTATTTTTCAGTTATTTTGTATTACAAACCGGAAATTGACAGCCCCAAAGGGTATTGGGCTGTCAATTTCCCTTTTGTGATCTAAAATGACTGAAAATTGCAAACTTCGCAAGGCTATATTATCCGCATATTACAACATTTCGCAAAGAAACTTTGGAATATTACCAATTTTATGATGCTCTTTCAAGCTGTGATGAAATTTTTGTCTAGATTTGTTGAGATCAAAATTTAGTCTATTACGCAAGTGGTCAATTGAAGTGCTCAGTATCTTTATAATTAGATGGCATATTGCAAGTTTTTAACGTGATGGATCACGAAATGAAAAACAAACACAAGCGTTTGCATTTATGGAATTATTCCATATGAACGTTCGTTCAAAAATATCAGATTTGCTATCCGAACATGCATGGATGTATTAACTATTAAGTCAAAAAGAAATTGCAGTTTGCGTAGAAAACATACAGAGTGTAAATATTACATTTTAATATATAAATCATGCAGTTTACAGAAGCAATAAAACTAGTCTATAGATAATTATTAATTATTTATTTCTGTCCTTGCTCTAACTTGCGCTGCTTATTCCTGATATAGGAGTCTATTGTTTGTATGCACCGGGCCCAAGTACTTTGCAAATTTTCTGGAGTGTTTGGATAGTGTTTGTACAGTTGTTCTTGGATTATTTCCATTTTTTTTTCATCCAACTTTCCTTTTTTGGCAAGACCTCGACAATTTCTTCCTTTCATGTCATCGTAACTAAATAATTTCCGAAACAATGTACTAGCAAAAGCTGTAGGGCCACTACTTTTGAGTTTTACTAACGACAGTTCCTCGTTGCTAAAAGGTTGGTCTGTAACTGTTCCTGCAGGCGACGGTTGAGCAATGGTTGACGGTTGAACGATGGTTGGGGCGATGGTTGAGGCGACGGTTTCAGTTATGGGGTTGTTAATGTGCATAACAGGTAGATCAACAACATGAATTACGTCTTCACTGACACTGAAACCTCCCGTGTGTGGCTGCTGTTGGATTATATGTTTAACCAATCCATGCAACGAGTTGAGACTGGAAACGATCTTTCTTTGGTTAGACAATATTTCGTCTATTCTCGGATCGCCTAGATTTTGTTTCGACAACAAGGAATCTAAGTTAAAGCTAGCTGAAGCGGGGAACAAAAGCGAATCACTTAACGATGCTGCTAAGAGCATAGGGTCGTCTAAGTTGATAGGTGCATGATGGCTGTCGTTCGTCGTACGTGGGGTCGAAAGCAATGGCAGGTTATTAGTAGCTGAGACAGGCGTGCCCTCGGGGTATCTAGCGACTTTAGCAACTGGAGTGGAAGGGAACGGCAAGTCTTCATCGGTCAAATCGTGCGTACCAGGAACGATATCGACTGTGTCAGCTAGAAGAGCGTTGTTGGCATGTGCAGGAGTCGTAGGCAATGGCAGGTCAATTAAGCTGTTCGCTGTTCCACCAGGTACGGTGTCCATTGCATCGCCAAGATAGTTCACTGGAGTCACAGGCGATTCCTCTAAATTCACTGGTGCTATGGTATTACCACATACTGGGGAGAATGGAAGTGAAGTCGAGGTGCTTTGCCCACACCAATAACTGTGGCCTATAATTATGAAAACAAAATGTTAAAATCACATACACATTGATATACAGACAGCTTAAGGGGAATGTTTATGCGATACGTAAAATTTTCTAAACATGTTATTAATGATACAATTCAGTGGTTTTATCCTATTTTACATGCAGTAAAGCAAAAAACAAATTCCGAAAAGACAACTGACGAAAAATTACCTGATAGAGAACTTATTAATTTTAGTATTACTGTCGTTCCAATTGAAGTGTTCCTCAAATGTTGATTCAATACATTACCTCGGGCTGACCAATTCATTTGATCAAGTTCCTCGAAATATTGATACACTTCCTAGTATAATTGTAAACTTCCTGTTGAATAGTTTGAATGCACCAATCACCTTTGTTGTTTGTGCAACCAACCAATCATAAATAGAAAGGAAGTGACCAGAAATGATCAAATTCTTGGAATTGGCTCTTTCACAGGAAGTGTATGAATATCTCGAGGAACTTGATGAAATGAATTGGTCAGCCTGAGGTAATGTATTGAATCAATATTTGAGGAACACTTCAATTGGAACGACAGTAAATACTTTGTCACGGGAGACTATACTCGCAAAAGCCTTTTGGTTTATTATGGTCCTCTGTCCAAATATGTATAATGTAAACTAGTACATAAATATATATAACTTACGAAATGTATTGTAAACATATTTGGAAAAATAAAATATTATTATTAACACATTTTAAAAATACAATATATGATTCAAAACAAGACGCAGGTTGAAACTATATATTACATTCTCAAGATGTCTTGTCTTTTCGGATTTTTTTTTTTTGCTTTACTTTTTTAAATTGTCGGCTGGTCATAGTTGTATCTGCGCGTATCGCTATACACTATGCTATCGAGTTGTGCGTGCGTACTATGGTGCGTGTGTTAAACACTCAGGTCAACTAATTAGGGCTTGTACGCCACTACGCCTGCGAACAGGCCGTAAAACAAAGATGGCGGCTTTGTACAGGGTGAAGAGAAACTGTTTGTTTGGCTCGAGGTTTGACTTTGGCTGACTGCTAAATTGTCCGATTGTTAGATCCTAGAAGATTGCCTAAAGTAACATCGTAAATCTTTTTCGTGAGTGACCGTGCATGTTTTTTTAATAATATCGATGGTTTTATTTTATTAAATTAATATTGGTTGGTTTATTCATATATTCATAATTATTTTGTTATGGTGCATTCATAGTCACATCATTTAGATTTTAGAATTATTGTTACGTTAAAATTTTGTTATATGGTGCATTAGTCACAGGACATCTTATAATTATAGGATTGCTTCATCAGTTGAGTTAAAGTTAATAAGATGTATTTACAGACTGTATGTATTTTTTCATTTTTATATGGAGCATACATGAGTACATGATACATTAATAAATGCCCATTTTGTAACTCTTAATCTGTCTGTTTTTATTATAAAAATGGTGGCTTTCTGACAGTTGATTGTGATAGAGATTGAGAAGAGATTGCAATCTGAACATTTTTTATCATATCATGAAATATAAACAAAGTGACAATACAGCCGGGTATATATTGAATTGTCGGCTATATAGTAGGCTGTAGTTAAATATAAAACTTTTGTTTGTGCTAACTTTTACCAAGCTTGCCATTAGTGTATACAGTAAAGGCGCTGCGTTAAATACAGTAAAGGTTTATAATTTATAATTTTTTAAACCTTTTTTCCACCTTTAATAACTTTCAAAAGGTTACGGTTAGCAGTTATGACCTTGGTCATACATTATGTCGCTAAATTTATTTAGACATCTATGTCGCTAAATCTGATTGGCTAATATAAGACTAGGGAATGGAATGTTGTGCTCGGGTGAGCAGCCACTTGTGTGGAGAAACCTCGACACAAAGAGCGGTTGTGAGGCTACTATACAGCCAGCATTTTACTAAATAGCCGGCTGTATAGCTAGCAGTTTACTAAATAGCCGGCTGCCGGCTGTATAGTCACTTCAAAAATATATAAATGTTTACTCAATAATTGTGCATGAAATTTTTTTCATAGGAACGATGCAATTTCTTTGCGCAGATACATGTACACTTAGCGTACTTATTTTTTTACATGCGTTGAATAAGTGCAAAACAAGCTTAATTTAAAAACCACAATATCATCTTTTTGGCCTAAAGCCTGGATACTTTCCTAATCCTATCATGTATTCTATTTAAGTTAAAACATATAGTTGGAACACTCATCAAACCATTATTTTGTCAATTTAGAGCTTGAAATGTCCGCTGTAACAATTCATTACTACCATGCAACTCTCATCAACTTTCATTATCGTTTGACTGGGGCTTAACACTCATGGACTTTTTTGGTAAATCCTACCAGCTCGGAAAAAAAATAATATTCCCATTTGATATCATCACAGGAATTGTGTGTTATTGAAATCGCTGGAGAACATGCGGGCAATTTTTGCTTGTAACCTGTTGGAAATTGTTGAAAAGCTTTCTCAAACTTTCAACAAGCAAGGTACAAATTAAACTCACCAACTTTTTCTTGACTTTTGAATGATTCTCTTTGTTTGCATCTTTCTTCTTTTTTCTTTTCTTTTTAGGGGGCTGATCTAGGTCTTTTTCGTCAACTGCATTCTCCTTCTCTTTCACTTGTTTGCCTTTTTCCTCCACTTGCTCATCTTCTTCGTCACTTGTTACTGGAGCAAGGTTAAGCTCTTGTCGTAGTTGGCCTTTTGGTTTTTCAATATAGTCTTTTTCTCTTGTGAGCAGATCAGAGTAGTCATCTGGAATGAAATTAAACAGGTTCGACTTTGCCCCGGAAATTTATATTTACTCCTTGGAATTGCTATCAGCTCTGACGCTTAACTGCTCAAATAAAATAGGAAATGAAAATATACTTCAATTTATTTTTGCCTTAACATACCCATAACAAAATGATGCATTCCATTCAACCCTAATTTTTTATAAAATTACCATCTCAATAACTTGTTTTCGCCATTAAGCAAATTACAAGATAGTTGAGTCATGCCATTAGTTATCATAATTTAAATTGAACCCAAAACGCTTGAAACTTTAACTGAACGTCAATAAATTTGTTACTATATTTTTATTAGCCAATAATTGTGCAAACCTTTCGTAAATGTTTCATCCCATTTTGGGATTACTTTAATATCGTTACATTTTTGGGCAAAGCTGGTTATTTTGATCTCGAGAATATATATATTATCTATAATTCATCATAGATAATCCGTAGAATTAGATTTATCTTAGAATTAACAACGAAATTTTTCTTTCTGTGAATTTTAGGGGATCCTAGCGGATATGTACCTTTGGGTCCGAATCCGCGAATATAGACTGAGGGTTACATATCCGCGACACCGGGCAGTAATTATAGTAGGATCGCGTTTGCTTTCAGTCCAAATTGCACTCCACTAGGTTCAATTACCATTATATATCTATCAGCTTATTTATGTATATTTAGACAACGATAATTTTGATCCAATGTAATAGTGATTATAGTGTATAAAACAACACGGGCATGGAGTGAATATCCCACGAGCAGTATTTCGAAAGTCATCACATGCATATACAATCTCGTCACACATAAAGCGCGAAGTGGAAGCCCGACGCAGTGTTAATTGAACTAAGACTTAAAGGCCAAAACTTATTGCAATAATTTAATACTTACCAGAAAGTTCCAGGACATAAGCTTGATGGCTTTGACCGTTCAGCGTTACCATAACCTTTTCTCCTTTTGCGATTTGCCTTCCACCTTCGACCATGGAAATACGCTTTGTTGCCAAAAGCGATACAGTGTCATCGATGGTAAAATATACCAAACAGTGTTTGGCCGTCCTAGTCAATTGACGAAGCATGTTGCGGACTAAAATACTGATCAGTGACAGAAAAATATAATTGAGTTTTCCAGTTTGCCTTGGGAGACGCTGTTCGGAGAATGATACGGATGTGCTTTCTCGTGTCTCTTTATATGCTATTCAAGCAGGCTAAACAGAGGATCTATTTTTAGCAGGATGATGGTATTTAATACATGAGTGAATAATATAATTGGAATTTTCTTGATCGAAAAACAACTCATGGAAATGCCAACTCCATAGAATTGCATTGGTAATCACTAATGTGTGGGTATTGATGTGCGGGCACATGCAATACCAATGTGTGAAGACTTTTAGATTAAAGAATTCCTCAAAGCTTAGATTTTTAGATTGAAGAATTCCGTCAAAGTTTATGATTTATATTTTTTCTGCTACACATGGGTTCATTTCTATAATCTTGGAATGTACGAGAAGCGCGTGAAGTCTTCACAAGTATTTTACTCCTTGGAATTGTTATCTGCTCTGACGCTTAACTGCTCAATTAAAAACGGAAAATGAAAATATATTTCAAATTATTTTTGCCTTTACATACCCATAACAAAGTGATCCATTCCATTCAACCCTAAATTTTTACACAATTACCATCTCAATAACTTGTTTTTGTCGTTAAGCAAATTCCACGATAGTTCAGGCATGACATAATATATCATAATTTCAATTGAACCAGCACAAAACACTTGAAACTTTAAGTGAACATTGAGACTTTCATGCAAATCGCATGCTATTGTTCGCAGAATGTCCACAAAAAAACGAATTAATAACAAGGAAACTTTAATCATTCATAACTATAAATATATACACTTTAATAAGTAGTCTTATATTTGACAGTCAATATCCTGATGCTCTGCCGTCCCTTTTGATTACTTCAGGGACAACTTTTCTTAAATGTCCAATATATTTAGCACATTTAGCTGGAGTCATAGTAGCCCAAAAATTGTAGATGCCTTGTTCTAACTCCGCTTTTGACTTCGGTTTTGCGTACTTGCGAAGATAGTGTTTCATCTCATGCCAAACCATCTCGATGGGGTTTAGATCTGGACTCTCAGGAGGAGTTGGCCAATAAATAATTTTCTCCTTTGCCAAGAATTCGATAGCAAGGTGACCTAAAACGATACAAAATGGGAAACGTTATATAGAAACTGTATAAGATCTAGAAATCGGTTACTGATTTTCTGACTTACTAATCTTATCTATAGTGTTGATCATGCAGTGTTTAACTTGTAGAAAAAATTCAACCAGACGTCATGAAATTCCTTCGAGCCTGGCAAAATTATTACGTCATTAAGATTTCATGTGCGTTTTGTGAAATCATCAGTATAGCCTATAGGTGCCGGCCTATGGCATGCACTTACTTTTGTGCTTTGGGTCATTGTCTTGTTGAAATCTGTAATTTCCTTCTGGAAAACATTCGCTGATAAACGGCAGGAGCTGGCCACGTAAAATTTTGTCTACATAAAATTCTTTCCTCATTATGCCTGTAAACAGAAGGATATCGGTTGCACCACGTGTGCTTATCCCTGCCCAGACATGAATTTTGTACGGATGCTTTACTTTTGGTTTATGCTTTGGGAGTTCCCCAATTCGTCGGAAACAAATTTTTGCATGCGATTCCATCCAAATCGAAGACTCGTCGGTGAATATGACATTGGAAAAATTATCATTGGAATTATTGGCTTTTTGGCAGAATGTCAGCCTGGCTACTCGGTTCTTCTCTTTGACCAACTGAAAGTATTTTGGCCCGCTTTTTATCCAACCCAGCTTTTTCCTGGCTCTCTTGACGGTTGCCTCGGAGACCTTGAGGAAAAACTGTCTCTGCAACATTTTGCAAAGATCTAAAATAAAAGAATAAATAATCGTTACGTAATGTTGAGTAAATACACAAAAGGCTCGTTAGAATCAAGTAATATCAAGAATAAACCAAATATTCACATTCGTTGCTGCAGTTCGCAATTTCATCAGAAAACAAGAGAAATTTTCTTACCTACGGCACATAGTTCGTCGTTTTTAGCCATTTCACAATCAATATATTCATAGTGTTCCATCGTTAGCACCCTTTTGGGATTATAAGTTTGTCCTTTAAATGGCAGCAGCATTTTTAGGTCTCCGCTCGACCACTTGATGAATTTTGAAATAGACTGCCTGCTCACAGGACATTCTGACATGTGTAAGTCACGGCTAATCTCGCAAAAGTTTTTGCCCTTCTTGTGAAGCATCATTATTCGTTCTTTCGCATAAAGCGGAATTCGCGTGCCTGGCATCTTCGTTTTCGTGGCGTCAGTGGCGATGGCCAGTGTGATATACATGCGGGTGATGTACGCGTATTTATATCATCTAGTCAGATACGCGCGTATATGCCCAACAGATACGCGTATATACCCAACAGATACGCGTATATACCCAACAGATACGCGTATACCCAACAGATATACGCGTATGGTAATCAATGAGCTAGTCACACGCATAGCATACATTGAACATTAGTTTTAATGTAGTATAAAAGGAGTTTAAATCGTTGGAGTTATCAAATAATTCATCAGTACCATTTAAACGTCGATTTGGTACGTACTTTGTAATTAATAATTTTCAGCCTTGTTTTTATATCAGTTAGATGACACAGCCATAAAATGCTGTCATATTGCCTCCCCTCCTGTAAAAAAACTATGCCGCTATAGAGTATAGTGCAAAAAGCTAACTGGTTTAAAATTAAAGTTAATCATTTGATGGGAGAAATTTAATTAACGCATGTATGCATGTATAATTTGAAAAATGAAGTATTTTACAATGCCCAGTGCTGTCTTGAAAACCGATATGACTAATCTAAACAATTTCTATGATTATAAGGTTATTAAATGACAGATTGCTATGTATAGGCCCTACTAAACATTTTAACACAACTTTCAAAAATAGTGCAAGGACTATAAAGTTAAAGCAGAGCTTTTCAGTGATCGATTAGTGCTTTTTACATGCATGTTTTCGTATAATTGTAGTATGATCTTTATTTTATTGGATTTCTACTTATAACCATATTCATGTATTATAATTCCAATGAATATCGTATTAGATATTTTTATTATTGATATTTGTTGTGTTGGTGTAATGTACTCAGGTGAATAAGATGCTTGTGTGATGTTACTCTGAGTGTATACCTGAGTGCCTGCCTGGTGTGGATATACACCCAGAGTAACATCACACAAGCATTTTTATTATTATTCAAATTTATAAAACGACGCATTTTGCGTTTCAGTTTCATGCGTATAAGATATATGAACATAAG